ATCTGGCGACAAGTGATTCAACCTGTCGTTTACAATCTTTTTGACAATGATGCCATCTCTCCCCGCGTGAGAGCTCACGTAAACTTTTGGCGTCTCGCCCAGAAGCTCCAGAATTTCGTCTTCGGGACGGGTAGACAGGACAACTTTTAGTTTGGACGTCACCTGCATCGATGTATCCAGGAACTCGACCAGCTGTTTGCGCGACCGCCTATCAAACTCATCCAGGCCGTCGATTGCGATGAAAAGCAAACGATCGACGTCTCCCAGGAAGCCTTTGAGGATGCGTTCCAGAAAGGTCTTGTTCTTTCCCGGATTCCGGTCCCCCTGTGTTCTAGCTTGGTTGTATAGCTCGACAAAGGCCTTCTTCTTGGCGGGAAAGTCTTCGAGGAGCTGCAGGATCCAGGTCGACAGGAAGGAGGCATAGTTGTCAGTCTTGCCAGATTGGCAGTAGTAGTAGTAAACCTTGGCCCGGGGTAGCTGAAACTGACTCTTTTTGACCAACTCGTCGACAAGAAACGCCATGGAGACGCTTTTGCCACTGCCCATGTCGCCAACCATGATTAGCTTTTGGGAGCCAGTGGCGTCGTTTCCACAGTACCAGTTGAGGAAGTGGGCGTGTTTTAATAGAAATTCACAGGCCTCATCGGCACGAATAGCTTGAAGTGAGTCATGGTGTTCGCTTTGAACCAGCTCACTTTCACGGCCTAGCCAAGCGGCAACTGAGAGAATGAGAATGTTGGCACTCATAGGCAATGACGCTGAAAGAAATGGAGACTTACTTTGTTGGTCGTAGAGCATGACCTGGATCTCTTGGACAACCTCTAATGTGGTTGTATGAATAAGATTTCGAAGATTGCTAGCGCGTGTTATAAACTCGCTGATAATGGCAGGCAGTTTATCATTTTCCAAGATGATTTTCAAGACTAATTTTACTTTTCTCCTAGTTAATATGTCGTACGCAGCTTGATAAAACTCCAGAATCTTTTGATATACGGATACCAAGGCCTGCCAATAGTTAGATGAGCTCCGAGGCGGTCAAGGACAGAGACTACCTTGTGTATATTCTTATTCTCCGATTTCTGGCCCAGCGTGTCACACTCATCAATGTACGACATTTGCTCCAACATTTCGCCAATCTTCTTGGCAAACTCGACGTCGGCGGCGGCGAAGCTTATGGCAATCTGCATCAATAGCGTTTAGATAGGTGCTCCGCGAGATGGTAATCGACTGGTCGGTTCAATCGTAGTACGTACCGCTGTGACGCCCTTGACCACCCCAAAGACAGCAGCGGAAACCGGTTGCATATCAGTGAGCGGAGTAGCAAGATCCAAGGCAAGTTTGAATTTCTCCAATGGGACCTTGATACGTTGTAAATATTCCACGCCCGCCAGGAAGGCAGACTGCTCGGTCAGCTCCGTGTTGAGTTCTTCGAGCTGATGGAATAACTGCTCAATCCCTTTGCCTTTCAAGATCGCCACGTCTATGTCTTCGCCTAGACTTTCCACGGCCTCGCGATATGCCGCGCTCCAAAGGTCTGAAGGCGCCGCATCATCCACAACCGCCTGGGAGGGTTCATCGATGGTAGTGTGGTGCGATATGCTTATGGAGTGACTGTCCACAGGTGAAATTTGATCGTGGCCATCATCCACAGCGGGCTGTCGGCCCAGTTTGCCATGTATCGAGATGGATGAAACCGAAATGGGCTCGACCGACGTGTCTTGGTCTTCTTCAGGCAGCCTGTGTGAATGATGAGTATATTTCTGTCATTTGATATCCACTACTGACTTGGAGCTTAAACGGGCTTTGAACCTGCGTCGAAATTGGCTCAGGCATTTGAAAATGCGACGATCGCGGAATCTGCATCGCGCGTTTGCATTCTCTGTTGACGAAGACATGTCTGCACCGATGCCACGATGTTTGAAGGCGAGACATGAACAATCTCGCGGAGTTATATGCGATAACTATTGAAGGGAGACAAACCAAGTTGGAAAAAGTCAATGTCATTTGCATTCAGGGCGGCAAAGGGCGGAGAAGGCCGGCCAGTCAGCCTGCAGAACAGCCACATGCATGTACATGGGCACTAATGATGCGGCTAGGCTGCAGGTTGACCTTTTGTTACACAAGGCCCAGCCTGGTTTTCGCCCAACCTGTGGAGTTTCTGTTACAAATCTCCATGTATGGAGTACTGCAGCAGCACTCGAGCCGACGACGGTGTAGATCAGGGGCCGGGCCGCGTTGATGGTCACCGGCATCGCCCATTAGCCGCCCAACCTGGTCGCCGCCGGGACGCTCTGCCCAATGACAGCATTGAATTGACCTCTAGCATTTCAACATTGTGTCGACGTTGAAGCTATAATTAGCTTACAAGCGCCTGGCTTTAGTCGGGCTTGCTGTTGGCCCAAAAGCATTGGCCAGGTCAGGCATGAAGAATCCAAGCCCCATAGACAGTTGACGTTGCTGACAAACACTGAAGTGAAATGTCTTAGGTTTGATCAGGACATTACACACCTCAACTGCATAAGTGTCACCAGTCCGCCGGGTGAATTGTCTTCCTACGAGTCGACATACATGACCGGCGACCGCATGCAACTGGACATGAACGATCGAAAGAACGAATCAAGCATGTTGAAGAGGAGTCAACTGGTTCCTTACTACTAGAGAAATTCTAAACGCCATCTATCCTGCACGCAACTTGGACCTCTCTCAGTCCCGCCGGAGGAGTTGCTCTTCCATCTCTATACAATGCGCATCGCTCACGGAGCCGTAAACTTGCTCTTGGCCCTCAATATCAGCCCATATCTATATAAACTCTGATACCTAAAGACACTAAGCACATTTAACCCGCCCTTCAAGCTGCATCCTTTCGCAACCCCCATATTCACATACAGCGGCCGCTCGTACAGAATGGCACAACTAAGGGTAAATTAGATTCCGCACTAAACTCTGAGCACCATGTATTTTGCCATTCAAAGCGCATGTCCAACCTTTGGCGCGGGGCACCTGTCGGTGCTGAGACCCCCGAGGTAATCCATCAACAGCTCCAGACTATTCTTGGGGAAGTGTAGAGCTTCACTTTTAGCCTATCGGTGCAATTCTTGTATAGCAAATATGCCTTGGATAAAGTAGACTTGACTAGACCCTAACCCTAGCTCTAACACTTCAAGATTTTTTTCAACTTTCAACCTTTAAATTTTCAGCTCAGAATGAATAGGTGATGGAGGCAATTCTGTGGCCTAGACTTCCAGGCTCAACGATTAGTACTATTTTCCATTTGCTTTAGCCGTCTGTTCCTGACGCGTCCTTTGCATCCACAACACTTATATATACGTCAGATGTAGCATGGAATAATTGGCCCGAAATTCTTGCAGTGGACGTGACTGTGAACTTGGTCTTGGCCATGCGTGGCGCCTTTACGCGTGGTTTCATTATGATAGACCCCTCGTCTGGGCCTCTCTTGGTGACCAGCTCATAGAACTTGGTATCCAAGGCAGGATGAACCCGCCACTGATACCCTGAGCTAGTGGCCTCCATTTCATTCCACATGACTCTGGCGACCTCGTCCTGGAGACACAGAGAGTCAGTCAAGACTACAGAAACTACAGGGCTAGTGAGAGAAAGCACTTGCAGTGTCAGCAGTTGTTAGTTGCTAATGTTCAGGTAGGTAGCTGAATCCAGCAGGCTTCAGGGACTGCGCCCGAAGCATCCACTGATAAACATATCGCGTCGTGGGGGCGGTGATCTTCGACTGGCTAGCAATCACCAGACGTTTAGGCACCTTGGTGTGTGCATCAGACTCCAGGGCGACATAGTTGGAGCCGTGCTTCAGCGTGCAGATGCAAGCTTTTATCTTCTTGGACTCGAGATCGGCGACTGGCGCGGAAACCATGTCAATGTCCCCGAAGGTCCTCGCTACAAACCTTTGCTTTGATCTTGTCTTTATTCCCATTCTTGTCCTTGTCCATCTTGACAACAGTCAACTTGGACTGATGCTTGTCTTCACGAGCCAGATACCATACTGTACGCTCTCGACTGTTTTCATTAAATATCTTTGCGTGTAGATCTGACTCTTGCCGTAGCCATTGGTCTTTAGGCTCCAGACAGTATCCGTGGTATAGTCCAACTCTTCGACATTGTCGACGCTTGCAGGCGGCTTGGTAGATCCGTAAAGGCGAAGGTAAACCTGTTCTTTTGCACTCGCCCGCTGACCCTGAATGTAGACTCCAGGAAACTATATCGTGACTTTTTCAAGCCTGCCAGTTTTGCCAATGGTATTGAATTAGCCTTCAAATCTACCCGGAGCCATTGCCAGGCGCTTTCAAGAACTGGCCGCCCAAAATCCAAGCACGTTTCAAATACAAACACTCACATCGGTAAGACAAGGAGAATGAAGAGCTTCAGAAGTAGTTCAAACACTTTAGTATAAAATGGTTCGGATCCTGGGTTGTGACGGAAGAGTAGACAGGTGTTTGATGTTGACGCAAAACCGAAATTTAATGATAGACTAGATTCAAAGCAAGTGAAGCATCTAACTAAACAGAAACATAAACATATATTCAGCAATACTATTCTAGATATAAGCCACCACATGCCATTGAAACCTAGCAGTAACGATGAGTGGTGCTATGTAAAAAGTCATAAGACCTCTGACGTTTCTCCTGACGTGATCGTCTTAGTCGCAAGTGACCATAAAAGCAAAGCCGTCAAGACAATAGCGTAATAAAACGGTTAAAACAACGCACAAAACAAACTTTATTCCCCATTCCACACCCAAAACTACTCAGGATATGTATGCAACAGGGGACCCGACAGGGCAAATAACTAAGCAATAACAGTTTCGGGCCGGACAGCTCTTTGATCATTGACTGACCATGTGATTCCTTGGTAGGCTGTCGATCCGCTTCCTAGATTGAGGTTCCATGGACTAGCTTTCGGCTTATTTAGTAGCGCCACAATTTTCTTCTTCCTGTTAGAATACAATACCGTTCATATGGGAATTAGCTTCACTCACCTCCGTTGCTAGGCTCCCAACAGTGCCCTCTGTAACACGCCCGGAACACCACGTAATTGCTGCACTGGGGCTGAGCTCGTAGTTCGGCGACTACCCGTATACCCCAAGTGTTCCCGGAGACTAGTCTATGTTCCTTTACGACTGGCAGTTCGTCGTCGGGGACAGCAGGACTCCACGCGCCCTTCGCGTCCACAACACCCCGAGCTCGATCATCGGCCCAAGTCGCTATAATAAATCGATCAAGCAGAACAGTCGCCCAATGTTCCGGCCTAAAATAATCTGGCCGGCGGAACAAGTATTCAAAAATGGACTTAGTTCGGTCGTCGTGGGCGGGCGATTCATTTTGCCACATCTTGTAGAGCTCTTGTAGCTGCCAGGCAGTATCCTCATCATAAAGATGGACAAATAGAATTGGATTCTCTCCAAATTCGCCAAATAGCCCGGGAGGCAGTTTGCGACGTCTTTTGCCGTGCAGAGTAATCGTGAAAGACGCCCATTTATCGGTACGTTGGTAATTCTTGGCCATTGCTAGAAGATCGTAGCGATTGTGAACATTATTCTCAAGTTCTTTCCAGCTCTCCGGCGACCAGAATTCAATCCCGAATTCCGGCAATAAATTTGTTGGGAAGGTGATTGGTGTCTTTCTTCTCTCGGGTCGGTTCCAGAATAAGTGTAGTTGATTCGTGTCGAATGCTTCCCGGTAGGAGATAAATGGAGGAGGTTTGGCTGCTTTTGAACTAGATTTTGATATTTCGTCCTCGACTACTTTGAAAAACTCATCCAATGGACTATATCTGAAATCTTCTCTTCCCTTTGATTTGAGGTCCCAGGAGATGAGCCACTTATCCGGCGGCGCGCATGGGTCGCTTCCGGCGGCAATGAGGGACAATGGATCCAGTTTCTTGTTGGTGAAACCATGATTTGAGGCGATTTCATACGCTTCTCTTGTAAGTTTGTACCATGAAAGCGGGTCTGCGTGATGCACGCGGGCTTCCCATACCCAGTTGGGGACGGTCGGTTTGTCGTCTGCCGGTTTGTCGTCTCTATGCTTAAAGACGAATTCGATAGTTCGTTCTGGCAGGCAAAGGCTCCAAATGTACTGCCGAATCTCCGCCGGCAATACATCAAAGCAGGCTTTTGGCAAATCTGGCGTCATGTCTTCCATGGCTTTTGACGCAAGCTGAAGGGTGCTAGAGATGTTGAAGAACCATAAAGAGGGTGAGGCGATTCTTTGAATAGGAAACCAAACCAGGTGACGGCATGCCGGGGAGAAGGGTGACGAGCCATTTATAATGTGCATCCCTTGACCGTTCACACGTATACATGAACATGTTTGACACGCACATGGCAAGAAAGCACACCGAGTTGTCTCGGCGTACGGCATCTGTTCAAGAGGCCAAGCATATACGTTGAAAGAGACCGGGTTCATGGACCCAAGCTATGAGCGGCACGTACCGTGCCTCAAAGGGGAGCACACCATCTTTCAACATTTCTGGGGTTGTGCAACATTGCGCTACACTGGAGCAGAGGCCATTAGTTTGACGCACTCATTCCCTGCGTGAACGTAGATGTAGATGCGTTTTCCTTGGATTCTATATGCCATTTTCTACTATCTCATTCCCATGGAAAAAGAGTCCAGTGGTTTTCCTACACTCTTAGAGGATAGGTCGCGGAAGCAATTGGGATCGAGTACAGTGTCGGTATTACCATTACAAAGACACCTTTGGGCAAGAATCGGCACCCTTTGTCTACGATGAACAAAGGATTCAAAAGCGTCACAAGAGCCACATATTCACAAGTCGAACAAAGAAACGCGCATGCTCCTTCGTTTCAGACACGTGGCCTTGTGATTCAGTATTCACGTGAACGTGCCATTGTACGCAGCTTGTAGACATCATGTTTTGATAGGGGTCGCGGGCTGTTTAACATTCATTACGGACGCGTAGTAGAGAACTGAGTACGTATTTATTTTAAATGGTGAAAAAAAAAAAACATTGACAGAGCTTATGTACATCCACAAATAGTCTTCTTGGCCCAGCATGATCAGGGAATTCTTTGTTCCCTGAATGTAAGCGCCGTCCGACAGCCGCCATTCGGAAATGCAAAATGCAGCAACAATTCGGAGCCTGTACGGTCCTCTTCCTAGCTCAAGCTGGTTGTCTTTGACATAGCTGCAGAAGATCCAAACAGCACTAAGGGATGAGAGCTCACACTATATGTGTACACAAACCAGCCACACCCACCAGCCGTCACTGGCACCCCCCATTCGACATTCGATGTTCGACTCGGAAACTGAGTTTCTTTCATATCACCGTGTCAAACCAGGCGCTGCATTGCCGGCGATGCTCGGGTGGCCTAGTGCGGAGAGTGTTTGGGTCCTCCAGCCTTCCAAGGCACAAACGGATGAGTATGACCAGACAATTTCCGACGACAACTGGCATGGAAGAGCACTGCCGGTATTCACCGCAACTAGTGGCCACCGTTTATAGCGATTCCAGAGACTCGGAAGTAGTAGTGAAGGCCACGTTGGCTTGTCTGCCGCCTTGCATGAGGGGACTCCTTCATAAGGGTTCAAGCAAAAGTCTTGGCACTTGACATTATTTATCCTCGTTCATCGAGCCTCAAATATAGCCGAAATGCGAAATGTGGGGCTTCTGTGCATTTGTCACCGTACCCATCAGTTGATCAAACTCCAGAACCGGCTCCTCGGATTTGATTCTTCCTTCTCCCATTCCCGAACCCTGAGGCTCAACAGTGAACATTCAGCCGCATCCCAGACCCGACCCGTGACGAGCCAGCCATGCGATCCAGCCTCTCGTGCGATGCATGCAGGCAAGTCCATCTCATCAACGCGGAATAGGTCAATTCATTTAACAGTGTGATATGCAGGCGATCCAAGCTCAAGTGCATACACGAGGGAACCGCGCCGTGCCAAAGATGCCGCAAGCTGGGAAACAGAGATTGCGCCCTGACCCGACCGGTGTCAAGAACACCACGTAGTAGCAAGGCGAGACGTAAAGATGTTGGAGATTCAGCACGGGCAACGGAAACTCCCCGACAAATTGATGATTCCATACTCGCCGCGCCTCGCCAACACACACAAAGCGAGTCTCCCACGCGGTATCGAGCCCAGGCGAAGCAGCAGCCGTTGCCCCCGTCCGACTACACAAAGCAATTTGTGAGCTCTCACATTGACAATCTTTCCAACAGCGTGATTCTTCAGGCCGTCAATCTTTTCATCAACACGTTTCCGGAGCTCGCCATCTTGCATCTTCCCACCTTCATCGCGGAGCTCCATGCGGAGCGCGAGCCCGAAAGCAAGGTTCTGCTCGGTGCCGTCTTGGCAGTGACCAAGGCGCAGTTATCCGTGCAAAGCGCCTCGTGGGCCGATGAACTGTTGTCGCGGGAGCACTATGCTCTGTATGCAAAGGACGTGCTATCCGACTTCATTCTGCAGCCACCCAAAGTGCAGATTGTTCAAGCCTTGTTGATCATTACTCTTCACGAATGGGGGACCAGAGACTTTCACAAGGCATGGGTGTATTGTGGTGAGTAATGCGCCGCCTTTCCGGTTTTCCTTTGCCAAGTTTCACTGGTGCTGAGCCAAATTCAGGAATTGCTATTCGCATAATGCAAGCACTGCACAGCTTGCGAGCGGCACCCTACCCGCTCGACATGACATCTGAGCGACGGCACGACTCTGTTTCGTTGGCTGTGGAAACCAGAACCTACTGGGCTTGTTTCATCATGGACTGCATGGTCAACTCGGGCACGTATACGCCTCCCATGCTTCCCATGTCGGAAATGGAAAAGATGAGGATTGCCCGGCCGCTGAGCGCCGTGGAATTTGCCTTTGGGCCCGACGCACCGCCGCAGGCCGTGGGCGGCCATCACTCACTGGCAGGCCAGTCGACGGGCATGCTCGATGTGACGCAGAGCTTTGAGATTCTGGTAGGCGGCTTCGATATCTGGGCGCAGGTCATGACCTTCATCTTCAACGACGGGCGCCGCGCACCGGGCATGTGTGCGCCGCAGAATTGTCCCTGGGTCCCCGGGTCGCCGTGGTCGCAATCTCGAAGTCAGTTGGAGGCTTGGCGGGCAGGCCAGCATCGCAAGCTCCATTATCCCAGCAATTCGGTGGCCGTTCACATGACGCTCGGGTTTGGCGAGACGTTTGTCTACCTAAATCTCCTGTACTACGTGAGGTATGTTGTCCTTTCCAATAACGGTAGATGGCATCGAAATGTCCTCCAGGCTTACACCACCGCAGCACCCTCATGCTTCATCGCGAATACTTCCCCTTCCTGCCGACCCCGGAGTCGGAGCCGCGTGGTCCCGTGGACCAGCCCATGTTGGAAGCGCCCGCCCCGGAAGGCTGGTGGAACGAGAGCTCACGACTTCTCTTTGGCGCAGCAGAGCACATTGCCACCGTGTTGCACGAGGCGTCTGAGTGTGGCGTGCATCTCATGACGCCCTTTACTGGGTTTTGCGCATTCTCGGCCGGCTACCTCAATCTCTACGTGTCCAAGTATCCTCGCATGAACCTCGACCGTAGCCCGCGAGCAAAGGAATGTCTCAAAATGTGTCTGGACTATTTGGAAAAGTTTCGACGCGTCTGGAAAATCGCAGACGGATGGGTACGGCTCTCGCAACACACCTGTAGCCATTTGGCGCGCTGACATTGGGGGGCTTTAGATCAAGACGATACATCACGCGTCTGTGCTTTATGAACGGGCCACGGAAGACCGTACACGATACCAGGGACGGACTCGGGCAGACTTTGACACGCTTCATCAGTCGGTCCACGAGTTCCGTGTTGTGGATAGATCCGACGAGCATAGTCGGGAGATACGTGGCGCAGAACGACCCTTGGCACCGGCGACGTCTCCTTACACGCCGGGGGCGATTCCAGAACATGAGCTCGACACTAATACTTTGCTGAACCAGCTGTTCACCGAAGTTAGTAACAATCTGGAAGAGCAGGGGGCGTGGTCTCAATGGTGGCCGGCAATTGAGCAGGTAGATCTTCAATCCACTGGGCATTCAATGCCAATGGCGCCCTGAATGGGTAAGTTCTTCTTTTTTCATCGCTATGTCTATCTAGAAACCAATGCGCCGAATAATGCAACTTCTATGTAATGCCGGCCCTCGTCACCGCTAACAAATGCGTCCATGTCAAGTCATCAGAGTCATTACCTCCCCTTGCAAACATCACACTTTTGTGAAAATCTTCTTCGAGTTCATCAGGCGAATAGTAACCATGAAGAACATGCCGACAAAGGACGCGGCACCAGCATAGTACGCAGCCGGTCGGTAGAGGCTGACATCGGTCCCAGTCCCCGCCAGGGAGTACAGCCTCGCAGCAATCGGAGTGCCCTATTGCCGGTGTTAGCATTCTGCGGAAAAGGAAGAGGCTCTTCGTTCATGATTTGGGTTTGTATTTACCAGGAAATAGCCAAATATCCAGGCTTGCCACAGAATGGGCAAAATGCCCATGGTATTGGGAGCCCCAAAAGTAGTTCCCACCGCCAGAGGGAACAGACTAAAAAAGGAGCCGCAGCCAACGCCGTTGATGATGGTGAAGAAGACCAACAGGCCCATGTTTGTCACAAACGGCCAAATTGCCAATGCGCTCACGCCGCAGAACAAGAGCGAAATATTGAGACTGTTGAGTGGTCCGAGGAATGCATCGGCAGAATACCCGGCAAACACGCGACCAAATGTGGATGCGAGATTCCATATCGTAAGGGCAATGATGGCGGTTGAGCCAGAGCTGCCGACTGACCGGGCGAAAATGGGAATAAAGTACGGCGGGACAAAGAGAGGGAAGCACGCAATGGCGCCGCCGAGGATGAGAAGGACAAACTTGGGCTCCCGCCATCGATACCTGGCCACCATGTTAGTTTAATCAAGAAGTAGTCAAGTTTTTCAATAAGGGATCTAGCGTACCACTGGAGCTGCGGAACGGCAGACTTGGACTGCAAGGGCTGCTTGATGCAGTAGGCGGCCGGAAGACAAATCGCCCACAGCATAAAGCCCAGGATTCTAAACGTCCACTCAATCCCAACCTTGTTGACAAGTTCGTTGGCGGCAACGCCCATGACGGCGGCACCAAGGCTCCCTCCCCCAAAGACAATGCCCGTCGCAAGTCCACGATACCTGCGGAACCACTGCAGCGGCGCGGTCGAGCAAGGCTGGCAAGCGGTTAGTAAGAGGAAACCACCCACCCTCATATAAAAACAACCAACGTACCAAAATCGTCAAACCTCCCCCGACACCAAATAGTATACCGTGCGTGATAAACAAGGCCCACAAATGGCCCACGACCCAACTCGACAGAAACTCGCCCAGTCCTAGAAACACGGCGCCCACCAGGGCCGTCCTCCTGTAGCCAAACTTCCTGACCAGCTTTCCCACCAATATACACAGCGACACCATGAAGGACGTGGCTAGCGATCCGACAAATGTCAGCGTCGTCAGCGAGTAGCCCTTTGCGTCGGCCATTTTCCCCTGCAGTATGCCCCAGCTGTATATGACGCCCATGTACATGAAGAGAGACATGGACGCGGCGGCCACCACCACCCATCCCCGCCAGGTGTCGAGGTGAGCGTCCTCCTTGGGCGGGATACACTGCTCGGGGCCTGATTCCTCGCCGGCATCAGAGGCCGACGATCCGGGTGTGGTTGGCGGCTTCTCGGATGCCGATGCCATGTTTGCTGTCTGGCTCGGATCCTCGAAGTTGTGTCTTGGACGTGCAGTAGGGCGAAGTTGGACTTTTTTTCTAAAGGGAAGAAAGGGAAGAAGTCGGCTGTTTATTATATTTTATTTGGTCGGGTTTGTGCTTCTAATCCGATGCGTTTACAGCTATTTGACTCCATTTCTGGTCCATTTTTTCACGTCTTGCTCTTCCATCGTGTGGATACTATTGTCGTGGAAGTCGGTGATGGTGGGGCGTTGTTGCTATGGATGTATTATCCCCTGTGGAAGTGGCCTTGCGAGATCCATCTCGGGCCGTCGCCTCGGCTTTGAGATGGGCAAGGCTGGTGGTGAAGCCGATACCGGGACCAGGGCGAAATCCTACCCAGGTTCATCATCAGTCATATGGAGAACTGGTTTGACATTTCTGTCCATTGACACACGCCCTTTGGTTGACGTCGGATTTCGGCTCTGGACGGGGGTGTTTCTTCGGATTAGAGTGTGAATATAAACTGCCAGATGGCGTTACACGGCATGCATTGTCGACGCCGTTTTGGGATAACCTTGCATAAAGTCAAAATTCGGGAGACGGCCTAATAAAAAATACAGTTGAAGCCTTATAGATTTTGCGTGTTGTACCTGTACCATGGCGCCTCATTGCACCGCAACACCAACCACCGGCGAAGCGGCCACCGCTGCACAACACAACGGTCACCTTTTGCATAGGTCGCTGGCGAACCCCCCGCACATGGTGGAATCCGCGTCCGGATGCACCTTGCACCTCTCCAACGGCCGGGCCGTGGTGGACGCCTGTGGAGGTGCCGCCGTGGCAATCATCGGCCACGGCAGCCAAGAAGTGCAAAACGCCCTGGCCAAGCAGGCCCAGAAAGTCGGCTACGTCCATACGCAGTCGTACAGCACACCCGTCGCCGAGGAGCTAGCCGACCTTATTCTGGACGGGACGCCATACGGGCTCGAGAAGGCGCTTTTCCTGGGGAGCGGGAGCGAGGCCGTCGAGGCTGCGATGAAGTTGGCGCGCCAATACCACTTTGAGAGAAACGACACGGACAGGATGCACTTTGTTTCTCGGAGGCAGAGCTACCACGGGAACACAATGGCCTCCATGTCCGTGTCGTCGAATATGGCGAGAAAAGTGCCCTACAAGGGGTTCGAGTATCCTCATGTGTCGCACGTCACGCCGCCGTATGCATACCGGTACAAGACGGACGGCGAGACGGACGCGCAGTTTACGGACCGGCTGTTGCGGGAATTGGAGGACGAGTTTCTGAGGGTCGGTCCCGGCAAGGTGATTGCTTTCATTGCCGAGCCCATTATTGGCGCGACGGCCGGCTGCATCGTTCCACCGGCGGGATATCTCGCCGGCGTGCGAAAGGTGTGCGACAAGTACGGCATCCTCTTGATCTTGGATGAGGTCATGTGCGGCACGGGGAGGACGGGCACATTCTTTGCGTTTGAGCAGGAACACGTCGTGCCGGACATTGTCACGGCCGCCAAGGGTCTGGGAGGCGGTTACGCCGCAATTGCCGGCTTGTATGTCCACGGCAGGGTCGTTGATGCTCTTCGACAGGGAAGCCAGGCCCTCAACCACGGCCACACGTACCAAGCTCACCCGGTGTCTTGCGCCGCCGCCTTGGCCGTGCAGAAGATCCTAAGGAGGGACGGCCTCGTCAACAGGTGTCGGGAGATGGGTGTTGTTTTGGAGAAGCTGCTTCGGTCAGAGCTGGCCGAGTGCAAATCTGTCGGCGATGTCCGGGGCCGCGGGCTGTTCTGGGCCGTGGAATTTGTCAAGAACGGCGCCACCAAGGAGTGCTTTGATCCTTCCATCGGGTTCGGCGCCAAGGTGACGCAGGCTTCTTTCGAAAGGGGAGTTGCTGTGTACCCGGGTGCTGGGACGGTGGATGGCGTCAAGGGCGATCATGTGTTGTTGGCGCCGCCCTACACGGTCACGGAGGAGGAGTTGGCGACGATATGCCGGACGCTGAAGGAATCTGTCTTGTCTCAAGAGGCACAATATCTGTAGTTGATGGCGGCACATAATAGATACGTCGGGCGCACGCCGGCCGTAAGTAGGCAAATGCGGGTGCCATCCATTGATTATGTGCGCTCGAGTGCTCGCGATTCCGAAGTTTAAAGTTCCAGGTTGTCCACAATGAAAGCAGGCGCACCCCGAGCCGCACCTTCCGTCCAGATGTCCATTCGATCAGCCCGACGGGGCCCCACTCTGCGGCGCTTGACCTGGAACCCGTTGATTGATGCGCAGCTTGACTCCTCCATCCTCTCACTCACACCCGCAGTCACTCGCTCGCTCACTTGCAGGCCAGGATCACCAGTCGACGCCCGCATGGGTTGCATATAGCACTGCCGCTTGCCGCTGTCCTCGTAACGCACATTTCTTTCCCGCCATGGAGCACCGAGCCATCCCCCGAGTCTCGGTGGCCTGCAGCGCATGCCGAAACCAACACCTCCGTTGTGATGCTCAACGTCCCGTTTGTGGCCGATGCCGCTCCCTCTCAAGAGCTTGCTCGTATCCCGAGTCGAGAAGAAGCACAAAATTCAGAATGCAGAAGCGCACCGCTGCAACCGATGCTGCCGTCACCGCCGCCAATGCGCCGTCTCCTCGTCAGCTTCAAGTCCTCACGCCAACAAATACAGCTTCAAACGTCGGCAGCGACGCTTCCCTGGGCTCCGATTCTTCACAGTCACCCTCGGCATTGACCGTGAGATCTTGGTCAGATAGAGACACTTCACTTTTAGACTTGTACTATGAATATTTCCATCCAAGTCACCCGTTTGTACTGCCTCGGCGAGCCCTTCAGGCCAAGCTGAGCCTCTTGGATGACCTACCAAGTCTTCGGCTACTGGTCAATGTGATGCAGTACATTGGTTCCTGCTACAGGGACCCGGTCGCTCGTCAACATCATCTCCGAGCAAGCATTTACACTTCGGACGCTGCTGTCGACGGCTTCACTGTCCAGTCCACTCTGCTCATGTCCCTGGCTGAGAGCATGTGTGACGAGGTAACTGAAGCCGAAAAATTATTCGCCAGGGCATTGGCGCAAGCACGACTCATTGGCATGAATAAGAAGGACTTTGCGGACGCAGAGGTGGGATTTGATCCAGTTCTTGCCGAGAGTTGGCGTCGGACGTGGTGGATGGTCTACGTGGTTGATGCCAATTACTGCATCATCCGTCAAGACTACAAAACGGCTCTACTAGGTGGCGAGAACAGCGTGGACCTGCCTTGTGAGGATGAATCTTACGGCCAATTGGTGAGCCCAACAGTACGGACTTGGTGCGCCAACTCACACTGACCTACAAACTCAGACAATACCGCCCACGGCGTCAACCATGTCGGATTACCAGTGCCGCGAGTATGCATTGGACGACAAGTCATTCTCTTCCTTTACCTATCTGATCGATGCAAATCGCATATACGTCAGGGCCATACGCTCCTCGACACAGTATTCGGGCGTTTCCCAGGCAGAGATGATATGCGGCAATATGGAAGCCGAAATAGCCTCCTGGTTCATCATGCTGCCATCTTCAAAGCGTGACCTCCCAGTCCAGCAGGATGCCATGAATCAGCTCATGTTCCAAGCGCACATAATGATGTATACGTGAGTAAAGCAAGGATTCCACCATGATTATATTTATACATTGGCTAACAAATATCCAGCGCTCTTGTATTCCTACACCGCCCACTTTCAAACCTAAGTTACAACGCCGCCGAGGCCCTGTCAGACTGCGGCAGCCCTCCCCCGCCTCTGCGTCCCGAAGCCAGCATCGGCAGCATCATGGATCATCAGAAGCACGCAGACAAGCTCTTCGACGCCATTCGAAAGCAAAACCAGTGTCTGATTCTGCTCCCCATGCGCGCCGCCCAACTGTCCCCGTTTCTCATCTGCACCGTCGCTTGCTGCACGATTGCCCACCTGGTGGCCTGCAAGGGGGCGTTTGCGCCAGACGAGGCCGAGATTGCACGATGCCGCATCCGAGTCTCCATGGGCACCCTCAAGCACTACGAAGATATTTGGCCCAAGGCAAGAAAGATTCTAACGCAGCTGAAGAAAATTGCCCACGCTATCCTTCAGGCTGGCGCCGTGGCCCAGACGCCAATTGCCGACTTTGAGATGCTGGCGGAGCAGGACGCCATGTTTGCCAACTTTTTCGACAGGGACTGGTTACAGGCGTTTGAAGCGAGCGCAGCGTGAGGATTTTGGAGTCTAGCGGGCGAAATGCTCGCGTGTATTATATTACGAGTCATGATTTGTATGTGCGTAGATGACAATTGATTCCTCTGTACAACATGCTTGCGATTGTTCAAACCCCGCGGCTTCTGTACGCCGTAGCTGAGCGGAGCGCCGCGCAACAATGGAATGGCCATTGCGAAACAACATGACGGTGCCTGGGTTAGTAATACAAAGCACCTGAATGCTCGGACATACGACGCTCGCCCCTGACCAAATAGTCAGTCCGATGTCCCCCCTCGGCCGATGTGGGGCCGATCCTCCGCTCCCGAATAGCCTAAGCGGAAGCGTTTGACGCCGTGGCATGCCCCGTTGCGCACTTGGAGTGCCTTGCAAGTCAATTTCAATGTACATTTTATAAAAACAACCCATTTTACAGCCAGCATGCCGGTGAAAATGCGTCCGAGGTGCAAGGGCTTGTCAAAATGGCACATCTTGTCCGCAATACCGCCCTCAGCACTGCCGTACGCTTCCTCTCCCGTAATACTGTTTCTGTTTCCCGGTCGACTCAAACAAGTATTAGGGTATAAATATAGATCAATTCGTTCTGTACGGGGAGTTGATTGACCTATTAAGTGATAATAAAGACGAAGCGGCAGAGGTTAAAGTGGATTGGTGGTTTATCACAAGGTTAATAAAGGAGGCGGCTAATCTGAGCAGTAAATCCGACGACGACCCTGAAAATCCACAGAGCTAGGCACAATAGCGAAAGATGTTTGTTTCAAGTGTGATCTGGTGAGCCGCTAATCTGGGCCGGTAAGAGGACTAACTACTGACTTGTAAGTGTATACACGTTTACCGTGCACTGCAGGTCGTCAATATTCCTGCTGAGCGAAGAGTAAGGTGGTGCATCACCCAGAAGCCAGGACCACAAAGCTAATGTATTAATTCAAGACAAATACTGAGACGCCTTCATGTCTCAGAAGGGGTTACCTCTCTCAGTCTTGCCCCCTATATTTTAGGCTATACGTCTTTATCCTCTCAACGTTGCACCAGCATGCTACTAAGGAGAAGATGGTCTTGGGCCGCTCTTGTTCTCGTCCCTGGATAGGATTACCTTTATTAGCCATAACCCAGTATACATTGTCACATTCCTCATCTTCGTTGTGCTCTCTGTCGGCGCGGCTCTTTGCGACTCGTTTACCGGGCTGGTTGTCCTGCGGTTTCTGCAGGGTTTCTTTAGCAGCCCTTACTTGGCTACTGGGGCAGCCACACTTAGCGACGTGGTATAATTTTAGGCATTCTTTATAATAAACCAGGCTAACGCGAGCAGTTTTCTATTATGTATTTGCCGTATCCTCTAGCTACGTGGCTTAGTGCCATGTATACGGGACCGACCCTGGCTCCGATTCTTTCTGCTTTTGCCGTAGAAGCTAAAGGGCATGTCTACCTAATACTAGGCTAATTTTAGCGGACTTTAGATAACAATTCTTTAGTTAGCGCCGGTCTCTGTGGGAAATTGTACGGCTCTTAGGTTTTGTGTTTACCGTGCTTGTCGTCTTCCTCCCCAAATCGGCGGCGCTAACGCTCCTGTATTACAAGGCCAAATAACTTCGACAAAAGACCGGCTGTTTAGCATTTGTTCCCACGGGAGCCCTGTGGAAGAAGCACCAGAGTGTGGCCCAGACCGTGAACTCGCGCTCGTTCAGCCGTTTAAGATATCCGTTAAAGATCCTGCAGTTGCCTTTATCAACGTTTACGCATGTAACCTACCCAGCCCTATGGGGGCATTATCCGCTAACAGCGTGTAGATGTCCCTTGTTTATGGCATTTACTATTCCTTCTTTAAAGTCTTCCCCCTAGTCTATCCTAAAATCTACCGCATAAGCCCAGGTCTTACCAGTGCTGTCTTCGTCTGCGCCCTTGTCTCGTGCATCCTGGCACAATATGGTATTGCGCCTGGTACCACCTCACGAGCGAGGCCAGGGCCCGCAAACTCGGCACTTTTAACTCGCAGGAAACTTCCCTCCGGCCCAGGCTCCTTAGTGTGCTGGGCGTGCCGGTGGGAATATTTCTCTCAGGATGGACCTCTAAGGAGTCTGTGCCTTAGGAAGTTCCTGCGCTAGGCATTATTATGTACTGCAGGTGTTTGTTTATGATTAGGCTGGGCATCTTTATTCACTTTCCGATTAGTTACCCGTAATATGCGGCGAGTTTATTCGCTGTAGACGATGCGTTAAGGAGTGCATTCGCTAGTGGTGCCATTTTATACAAGCGGCCGCTGTATATAAATATGGGGGTTATAAAAGGATGCAACTTAAAGGGCAAGTTAAGTATTTTTAGTATTTTTAAATATTAAAGTTTATATAAATATAAGCTAATATTAAGGGTTAAAAGTAAGTTTATAGCTTTAAAAGTAAGTTATATTATATAGAAATAGAAGAGCAGCTCCTCCGGCGAGACTGCGAGATTAGGGTAATCCGAGTTAATAGGTAGGATAGACAGCATTTAGAATAATACTAAACGACTTCTCTTTAACATCCTCGGCACTGCCTGGCTCTTTAGGTTATTTGTACCATTTTGGTAAATGTATTTGAGATAGGAAATCACTCATGGTTATCTGTAGACTGCGGGCTGTTCTGTGGTAATACTTTTAGAACTCGACTTGTCGTTGAGGCTGCCTGCTGAAGAAGCTGATTCAGATGAATGAATCTCGGGCGGAATCCTTGAAGAGAGCCTGGCTCTTTCTTGCGCATCCGAACTCTGTTCTCCTCTCCTGAACTTGCCAGAGCTCCGTGCATCTCTTCCTTGGAAACCTACTGTATGGCACTGGGTATTAGAATTAATAAGAATGGTTAATAGGACTTGAATATATTGTACAACTCTATAAGCGATGCGCTCAAATTAGCTTCCTAATTAATGACTATCATAAGATGTACAAGTGGCTAGTCCACTTAGCTGCTGACGGGTATAGGGTATGAACACACAAAAGTATGTGGCGTAGCCACGCCCATATTTTGGTGCAAAAAGGAGATGGCGCAATGTGGCGATTTCGGGCCGACGAGTTTAAAGTCTCGAACAAACAGCATCGCATCGCAGCCTTTCTGCGGCGATAAAGCGTCTAAATCGCACACTCGCATTGTCTAACAGAGTTGTAGTTGAATTCTGCTACCTGCAGCTTCGACCGTGCGTTAAGCGGCGTCCCCTGATTGGCTTTCTCGTGAATACATGTCGGTCTGGTTACATTTACCTGATGATTATTCCTGTGCAAGTGCCACCAGTTGACCAGTTTATGCGGCATCTGCCGTAATCGGCTAGTACACAACTATTAATAGAAAATAACGCCTCGCTTATTAAATTCTTTTGCTCGTTGATTTGGTCTTCTCTGTCTACATATACATGCTTCGCCGTCTAACTACTCGCGACATGCCTTTCTCTTCTCCTCAACTCGGATATAACAAGCCATCGCTTCCGTACTGTTATATCCTCTTCCCTATCCCAGGACCATTCCCGTTCCTGTCCATCACAGTCCCTCTCCCAGATCCTCTCTACCTTGAGGCCAACTTGTCCAAGGGCTTCGCTTGCGAAAAAGCCCCTCATCTTCAGACGACCTGTGTGGAATCCACCAATCACCCAGCAGCGTGCATCATCATCCTGTTTCAGGAAGTGATCAATAGATCTGCGGAGGTTATCGTGCTGCCAGGGCATCCAGAGACAGTCGGCGGCAAAGATGCGGTCAAAGGAGTGGCGATTCGCTCCGCAGAAAGGATCCGAGGCCTGCAAGTCTTCCCACGCATGGCCTTGCACTATCACGGATGATTTCGGCGTCGTTTGACTTCCGGATGGGGAGAATTCAGGCTGGATGTTGCGGGCAATGTTATCTTGCAGTGTCTTTATGACGGCAGCGGCTGGATGGTCGGTCGCCACGACGCGACTGGCGCCTAGTAATCCCGCCATTATGCTGGGCAGCGCGGTGCCAGCTCCCAGTTCTAAAACAGACTTGCCCCGGATGTCGAAATTCATACCGCCGCCAAGCATCATCTTGGCAGTGGCAGAGTCAGCCTGTTCGAGATCTGGCACGCCCAGGCTGTCCTTTTCAATCAGCTCAGCGAGCAGCAGACTCGAATTCCAGAGATGGTGACTGAATAGCCTACGATCCGCGTCACTAACGGGACTTGCGAGTTCGATATGCAGCGGCTTGGGCAAGTACGGCGACGCATAGATGAGACTCTTTCCAGCATCACCATGCTGGTTCGCCACGTCATCCGGGAAAACCGTCGCCAGGGAATCAGAAAAGATATACTCGGGCTCGGGCGTATCACTTCCTTCGAAAAAAATTCGGCTTGACCCAAAGGAGCTACCATCCCTTTCAGCATGACCAGCTGGCTGCTGAACGTCTTGTCGGTCAACGCGGCGTGGAACCAGAGTCCCAGGAACGGCCGTCTTATTGCCAAAAGTAAGGGGCGTTACCATGGTATTGTGTTCGCTCTGGGGTTCCGATGGAAGCAACATGTCCTGGTAGTTACCCTTCCACTCCAGCGCTGCATCTTGGTCAAGTTCTATCGGACAGCATACATGGCGTCTTTCCATGTTCTTGATTTGTAGAGCAGATTTCGCAAGCTTGGGAAATACGTGGTGAGCAGCCATTACGTAGGCAAACCCGGTGCTTCGACAACCTGCTACTATATGACCAAAGAGTTCACCAGTATAAGCTTCGAAAATAGCCGATCCACAGTCTCCGTCCGCAAGAGGTCCATCGAGGTGGACTGAAAATACCTCTTGAAACGATTTGCCTCGTGGTAGACGAGCGTACGACGGCATACCAAGTATGGAGCCAGTCATTTGGCCGCCGGAGGCTGTGTGTGTGATAACTGTAGCGCCATCCTTTGGGAGAACTGCAATTCGAGCTGCAGAAAGATCAAGAGGATTGAATACGAGTGATGAGAGGAATGCAGAAATATTTGGATCTGTGCCCTCAATGACTTTTACAAGGGCCCAGTCCTGGTCTACACACCAGTCGAATAGAACGCCTAGCTGTCTAAGAGACGCCCATGGCGGCGTTGTAATTTCTCGTGGAGGGTGCGCGATCTGCTCTTTGGCAAATGATGAGTTACTCAATCGCCTAGGCCCTGGGGAGGAGGCCATGATGTTGGTTAATTGGGGCGAATCGAGGGTCGTTTTGGAATGCAGTTCATCGTCGGATAAGTCATCTTGATCAGACAAAGCTTCTGTGCTTTGACTGCCCATGCTTGTAATAGAAGCTTCCGCCGCATCGTCATATTCGCTTTCGCTTTCGCTATCGATCTCAAAATCATCGTCCACTTGGGAAGTCTGCGAGTTATTGAGCCTGTCGAAGAAGACGTGGCTAGGTGCAAGGTAAAACAAATGGCCATGTAATCGTATGGCATTCGCAGTTGCGACGCGTGTGGACGAGCCATGGCGGATGTAGATGGTCATGGTCGGATGCAAGCGTTTTGAATACTCGTAGAAAACTGGCGTTTCTGGGCCGCCCGTCGGATTTTCGATGCTCCCCTTTGTTTCCTGGCATAACCCCAACTGTTCTAGCGGTCCCCCCCATCCGGGATCTCTCGATGTGTGGGCAGTCTTGAATCCGGAGTGCTGCTTGAGTATGCCACTCTCCTTGACGACTTTGCGAGCCTCCTTCCGGTAGTGATCGTTCTCAGATATAAATAGAACCGTAGGGGATGCCGTCTTCTCTGTTCTTCCAATCATATATACTGTTAACGTGACCCAATCCTGACTTGACACAGATCCAAACCAACCGTCCAGGTGGCTTAATATCTGTGGCTTCAACTCAGTGTCAAATTGGTCTCGAACGGAACCTCTAGCCGCCCAGCAATGATTTGCGAAATTTATTGTGCCAATGTACCTTCCGATACAGGATGGAGGTTGACGTGGGCTGCCCCTGGCAATCAAAGTTTCCAAGAATTGGCTAGTCATGGCATCGGTGTGACGAAACGAAATATCACTGAGGACCTGAGAAAGGGGGAGACATGGTGGAGAATTGGGAGCAGGTATGAAATGAAGTCGAAAGGGGGGAAAGCCTATCCATATCAATGTAAGCCTCGTCTGACCACCTGCAGACGATTGAGGCGCAGCCATGGGTATCACAAATACCTAAGGCCAAGAACAGGGTTGTGATGGTGACGAATAATTGCTTGCAAGCAAAGACACTCCCACAATCCCCGGTCCAGTCATGGACGCTTCTTCCACCGAAACTGCAGGTCAGCAATGCAAGGCATCCGCCCAGATTCAGCTCTACTCCGTACTACTTCGCATATAGCAAAGAAAGGCGTGGCCTGGAGAAGCAGAGTGCCCGAGATCCAACCTTGCGAATGTGATTTCCCAACATTTGAAGCCGCCGCACGAGGCTCCACGGTACCTAGTACGCCATTACAAACATCAAGAAACAACGATTCGGTACAGAAAGCGTCGTCTATTATACATATGCAGTATCTCGAGAACATTACCAAGCATATATTGCCTGATTGCGCTCGTGTACAGCTTCGTCGTCTCTCCCATTCCACAACACCATGGCTACGCTCAACAGCCCTCTCAATAAAATCCCGATTGACTATGCTACCAGAAGCGAGATTATCGAGAGCTTTTGGCCCGCAAACAGATACACAAAACTCCGATATAACGATTTAGACTGGGAGTCTTACTTTAGGTTCTACACCAAGCAATGCCACGATGCCTTGATCGATCAAGGTCGGCATGTCCTGGCAAGAACCCATCAAGACATTTATGATATAGTGCGCCGATTCGAAGACCTCACTCCTCGAGACGAAATTAAAAAAGGCCTCAGATCAAGGCTTAATACGCCCCATCGACACAACGAAGACGACATATTAGACCGCACGATCGATCTTGCAGCCCGATTACATCTCATGGTCAACATTGCTGTTGACAAACCTGTAATTTCCGGGCAGGTGCAGCTAAGATGGGTATCTGGAATACTTAAAGAACATCTCAACCATCATTTTAGCGAGCCGCAGGTACTTGGAAATGATGGTATCAAGCTAGAACAAATGTTCACAGCGGTGAACCTAGAGCGCATTGCGGGAATTAGGATAAAGCCCACGGATAACTTGGCAGACCACCTGCGGATGATTGATGAAGAGGACAAGGTTGTTGCGATATTCCACCATACTGCATTCCTGAGGCGGCAGACTAGGTGCGTCCAACGACAAGATTTTAAAACCTCCTGCTGACCGGAACAGTTGCTTGTATCCAGATGGTCTCCGGGAAGAGACACTGCGGACATTGTCGCTTCTCTTTCCTCGACACGATGAACAAACTCGGAAGTGGTTAAGGAGACACCCCGAATCATATCGGATCGACATGGCACTTCTAAAATGTGACCCGATGCGGCTCGACAATCGACAAATTGAGAAATTCCACTTCTGGCACGACCGCCTGATTATCTTGAAGCAGGCTTTCGACCAGTCTCGGCCTGCAACAATATCTCAGTGGTGGTGGGATCGACGGAATGGTGTCCAATGGTATACCTTCTGGGTCGCTATTGTTGTCCTGTTCTTGACCATCTTCTTTGGCATGGTGCAGAGCGTTGAAGGGGCATTGCAGGTCTACAAGGCGTTTCATCCGTCGTAGCTATCTTGACACGACTGGCTTTGCTAGTGACTACCAGCTGAGGCGAGGTCTCTGTGTTTAGCTACGGCTGCTTCAAATCTACGGTGAAACTCGAATTGCTATTTAAACTGAACTCTGTCGATTTACAGTCCACCCACTACCATACTCAAGTGCTCAATTTTGGCAGGACGAAAGCTATTTTGTGAATCCTTGTCTGAAGCTTGAGCTTTCACATGCCTATTTAGTCCACGCAATCGGTAATAGATTCACGCGTTGTTAGTTTATAGGAATAGGGGAATAGCAATAAATGATAATACTAATTAGAGAACCTAATTAAAATAAGAAAAAACTACCTTTACCCAGGTATTTATTATGACACTTCAAAGCTATAGGTCACATTGAATATGGACTTGGTCCTTGGTTGAATCTATCTATCGAGGGAATCGAGGTCTTTTTATAGCTACAATCGGAAGGCATCGACAAGGCCACGGTTCAATAGAAAAGGCCCGGGTGCCCTCATTCAAGGTTTTGAGCTAGCTAGTCTAGCCAGACTTCCTACATGACGAGTCTTTGCTAGTTACGCACTTAATGACCCCAAATGCTAGATTACGTATTCGTTGACATCTATTTTTACATCCTAATCGGCACCGTCGAATTCTTACATCATCTCAGGAATGGTTCGTGAACGCACTACGATTAGTTCCTAAGTCTAATTACGTGACAGGATAAAGTCAAATGCAACTCAAAAATAAGGTTTATGGCCTAACGAGGCCTTGTTGAGCATTGTCACGTGCTGATTTGCAGTATAAGAAAAAGCAGATCTACCAAATTAAATTGGCAGTTAAAACACCTACCACATCACACACTCCTGGCTTTGCTGCCCAATATTTTTTCCCAGCCTACATTGGGCGGTCGTAAGTATTCGACCTTTCTGAAGTCAATCTACGCCTCGGGGTGATCGAATACTTTACTCCACAAGCGGTAGCCAACAGCAATTTCGTCAGCCTTGTCTCGTCTTGCAACCTCCATTTCCCAACTCCTACCTTGCAGCCATGGCGGCGATCTACAACGATGTGGCTGCTGCAAGGGATATACACAGTCCAACAACGTACTGCAAGCACAAGCCTCTTGAGTGAGTCGTTATTCAGAGGTCCAAAATGCTGTGTCAGTCTAACAGTACCGCAGGCTGCGTGGCCGAACAATCGAGGTTATAGTAGGATCCGACCCCCCAACGACGTTTACCGTTCACGAGCACTTGATATGCTCATCTTCCGAGTTTTTTAAAAGCGCAATGAATGGTCGCTGGGAGCCATCAATCAACGGGTCCGTGAACTTAGGCGAGGAAGACCCAGAACTGTTCGATTTATACCTCCACTGGCTGTATAGTCAAACGCTCCTGGCTCAAAACGACAGCCCAGGGCATGCAGGAAATACCGAGTATCTACAGCTCGCAAAAGCATACGTGCTGGGAGACATGATGCAGGATGCGAAATTTAAAGACGCAGTCCTAGATGCAATGCTGATCAAGTCACGATCTTTAGCATCTGATGGCAAATACTGGTATCCTGTTGGACCAGTCATCCGTTACATATATGACAGGACCTTGGAATCGTCCAAGGCTCGGCGCCTTTTGGTCGACATGTATACGTATCACGGCCAGGGCAATTGGCTGACAACATGGGCCAGTGAAGACGACCTGCCCAAGGAATTTCTGTTCGATCTCGCGGCTGCAATGCTAGACATTAGGCCTTGCCTAAAGAAATTGGCTCATACAGCAGGGCGTTGCGAGTATCATGAACATGCACGGGATTCGAGTACTTGCCACATAAACCCCTTGGTATCAAGACGCATGGATCCAGCACAACCAAAACCTGCGGAGGCTAGAGATGTTTGGGGAGAAATACGTGATTTCCCTTATGAAAACTGTCTGGTCTCTATACTATTCCTTCTAGGATTCGTTTTATGCGTTCTTTTATGCTTAATACTTTTTCAATCTATATCTTGTATAGTAGACCCTGATGACAATAAATAAGTTGTCCTATCAAATTTACCCTTAAATAGTTTCTAGTGTGTTACCGCGCTTTGCTAACCCGACCTTTGTAATCGTAGAATAGCGTAACAGTTGACATCGGCATCGGATGTATCCCGGGAAGAAAATACTGCGATTTGGTTATTAGAAATACGGTGGCACTATTATATCAGAATTCTATCTTGTTAGTAATAATAATATAATATGTTCTTTAGTTTATTTTATGAATATAATACAATATCACGGTCCAGCTAGCGCCTTCTATAAATATCGTACCTTAGTTGTATCTCGATCTTATAGAACCAAGGTACTGCTTCCATCTCAAGACTCCATGTGTTTAGCTGTAACGTTTAACATGTTTCGTGGTATTATTTAGCTTAAAGAACCCAAATACTTTTTGCCTCCACCCCTCGACTACCTGAATTTATTTTCGTGGTTAGCCAACTTTTTAGATTTCATGTCAGACAATTGAGGGTCACAAGATCCAGTATAATGGCAAAGGCACTAATTATATTAAATAGGAATCCTCTAAGAAGCAAGAACCCCTCTCAGAGCTGCACAGTTCCGTTGCAGTTCTTTTTACACAAAAAAACCCTTGATAGTTTACGCAGCTGTTGCAATGCCCACATAAGGTACAATCAGGGTAGGCCTGATATGCGATATTTTATCTAAAATACTTTGAACACCCGTTAAGTTGCCAAGCCTTGGCTTTCATCTTCCGCAGTAACAAGCTCTGGAGATGATCCAAGAAGCCAACATTGAATGAGACATCTCACAGCATGATTGTTTGGACGGTTTTAGACAAATGACAGTCTATTGACTTTCCACACAAAAGAGTGAAATTATATGCAAACTAAGTACTTTAAATACTCCCACTTCCAACAGTAGGATGGTGATTGCTCCTTTGTGAATGAGCGACTTGATCTCGACAGCCGATGAGCATCCTATTAGCTCGAACCGAATTCGACTGGACAACTAAGTATTTTGAGGGACTGTAGATAACTCTGGATATTTTTGGCCTCGCGGCTGCGTCGATTGTCAACGGCCTTCCCCAGCTCACCTTATACCGAACCTCGCCGCCACGTGGATGATTTGCCCGCCAGATATACGTTATTTTAAATCGACTTAAACTTGAATTTCGACGGGAGCAAGCACAACAGTACTCTTTTGGATATTGTTGGCCTAGTTCACAAAGCATCGAATCGAACCAGGATAACGCCACTCGTTCAAAGGATGAATTCCCTTCTTTGCTGTAATCGGATAGCTAGAACCGGTGCAGTCTCGATTTCTATCAATTTATAGCTCAGCTTTGAACGTGGTCAATAAATTCTCTACAGCAGCATACCTAAAGAGCACACATTTGCCTCCTTCGTATATAGCAACGCATCTATTATTATGCAGGTTAGCAAGATCGCCGATCGAAATATTGTGACTCGAAAGAATAAGTTCATACTTTGAAACATGAGTATCAACGCATTGAGTATCACGAAAAGGATCATAGATCGGAGTCTGACAATATGGGTCTGGATGGCGATTGCCCTAGTTATTTATGTTAGCCTTTCTACCAAATATCCAATATAATTTACTTAACATACAATGACTTTTTGAGCCTCTGTAAACGTGGAAGAGATTGCAAGAAGGGCAAAAATGCTAAAGTATTGCATGATGTGTGGCTGCGGCCTTGGGATCTTCAGTAGCAGAATATCTCAAATAGAAGTTCTCAAGTAGGAGATTGATACTAAAAATGACAGAGTGCGTGGTAGGTATACAAGGACCAGGGGCCAGATTTATATTTCGTGGAAACATACTAGGTTGCATACAAATAGTAGGAATATGTAAAGCTTTTACCGCCAACTCTAAGCCAGGTCATTTCTATTAGACGAGGACGTAGACTAAAGCCAGTAATGCTAGCGTTCCAGCTATACAACCCCATGTTATATTGTATACGTGATTTGCGTTTATAATATTAATACAAACTTTGCCCGTGTCGTCATAATTACAGTTTACTCTACGTGAGGGGGCGAAAAGTATGTGACCGCTTTTGCTGGCTAGGCCCGCAGGGGCTCGTCAAATACTTATCCCCAGATCAGTATATACAGCGACCATCTTTGGGGTATGGCTTGCCGGTCGTTCCATTTTGTGCTTTGAGTTTTCCGCATGTATGAAAATAAATTCATAACGACCCGTTTTTAGGGAAATTAATGCTGTCGGATAATGCCTCTGTAGACGGAAGTAGCAGAGTTTAGTGTAATGACTAGTTGTTATAGCGTTGGCTATTATAACTAAACTTAGGTGGAAGTTGAATTCGGACGAAAGAAGGTTTTTTGGTATTCAGCAAAGGGCTGCAAACTTTATTTGTGGCACTAACAAGAATAATAATTTTATCAAGAAGCTCAGTTAACATAAGTCTCATAACGTGACAAGGTAGGCACTCACTTATTTTACTTTGAGCGGATAACCGCCACTCATGTGGACTGACCAACATTAATAACAGTGTGCTCGGCTAAGTTACCACGGCTTGGTGTTCAACGAATCAAGTCTTTCCTTAAAGATGGGGATACAACACAAGTGGCTTGAAGTTTTAAATGCGGCGTTGCTATTAAATACTTTAAGTAAATACTATAACTAAACCTGGCATTTTAGTTTTATTACAAACACCTAGGAATTCGGCTGCCAAGACTGCAATTAGAGATGACATGCGGTTTCGGATAGTTGTGTTTAGATTTGTTACACTGCATAACTTTGTATTTGTTCTGATAAGGTTGTCCCCTCCATCTGCGGAGATAGAGTTCGCCGAGGATGGAATGTGACGAGGAGTCCGGAAGGCATGGCGTATATACCTAGCTGTATTGCACGAAGATCTGACCCCTTTGGTCTGGCAGATGGTGATAGAACTAGTGGCTAATTGAGAACGTACTCCTCAAAGACACAAGAACTTCCTGTGCTGTAACCTCCTGTGATGCGTCATATTGGATGTCACATTCCTGGAATGGCTAGAATCCCGGTAGACGTAGCCGTCTCAGGAGGTGATACGCAGAACTTGAAATGACAGAAATTATTTTGCATGTAGGCACTTCAGCACCAGACACCATATCCCTACCATGTAGAGCCTAATTTTATCCTTATACAGCACTGGTCATAACATTAAAAGTATCTAGTCCCGCCATGGCCCACATATAAGTATCCTTCCGCGGTAGTGTAACAGTGCATGTGTTCATAACGTACTTGCTTAGGCGGCAGGAATTCACGCTGAACTCTAAACAGAGATTTCGGTTTAAACTTTGCCATATCTACATGCGAATCCATGTTGCTGTCGAAGATCTGTATGTCAGAAACAGGGTACTAGCCAACTCTAGTAGACCGAACGAGCCAACGACAGGCAAGATCGCCCTGCCAGTAAGCCATTACGTCACCTTCTGCCTTTCAATACATGGTACGGACTAAATAAGTGGCAGGCCGCCCTTCTATGTCAATAAACCGTGTGATGCGACAAGCGCAGCGAACCTGTTATCATGGTTACATTGCGCCACGCCCTAATCTATTACATTACTCAGCTTGAATCACGATATCCCTGGTGTATCTAACATCTAGTTAGCTGCCAGCGCTTTGCCTGATACATAGGCCAGTTTTATACAAGTCAACAAATGTCATCAATATTCTTCTCTCTCCTTCTTTTCACACATAGCCGTGCCAAGGGCCACAAATTGAACACATTGATCGAAACAGATGCGTGGATATCTACCAACTGGACCTATTACGGACAATCTGTAGATTGACTACTCGGGTTAGAAAATCCGCACTGCCCCGAACAGTATTACTTAAGTATAAAAGGTCGCCCCAAAGTTGTATTATATAGCGTGCCTGTTTTCGTGGCCACAGAAAAGGACCTAGCAACCCCGTCTCATCACCACGAAACAAATACGCCGAGTATTTCCATCAGAGACATGAAGTTTTTTGTAGCCATGATTACTCTCCTCGTAGCCCGGCACTCTCACGGCCAGACTTAGGCTCGGGTTCAGGCTCAGAGTCACGCTCATCGCTCACAGACAGCTCACTATCGGTGTCCTCTGCATTATCCATTTCTTCGGTAAGAAATCCGCCTTTCGGGAGAGCCTCTTTGCGCCAAAAATTGCCATAACAGTGATGGAGACTGACTTGTTATCGCAGCAATCTTGCTAATCGGACGTCAAAAGATCAGATCGCTACTCATATATTAGGCAGCTACGTGGCTAAACTTTTAAAATTTGAGCCTATCTGCGTCTTGAATTTGTCTTTGAACTTATATATTAAAAAGTTCAAGTTTTGCTTTTGTATCTATTAGAATTTCTGCTAAGGTGTATCTTATTTACATAATCTAAAAGTAACTAGACTTAGGGGAGAGCTAAGAAGAACATCCTGGAACTTAGTTATGGAAAATGTGGACCTTTTAAGTTTTCTTAACCTTAATTTACAGATAGGCTTTCTTTTCTAGATTTTTATAAAGCTTAAAAAAATATTACTACGCTATATTATATACATAGTATACCAAGATATATCTAGAGTATATTATTTATACTGAAATACATATTTATTCGATAACTAAAAGATCCAGACTTATACTTTATATTCGGCTCTGGAAAGAAGGGTAGAGCCTTAGCTTTGAAGGAAAAACTCTCTATAGTCTCTTTGTATTTGACCGCAGTTGAGTCTGAGAAACCGACCGTCTGCTCTTGAAGGCTGTAGCATCAAGTGACCTCCTAGTAATGCAGGTATTATCTAGGCTTTTCGTATCTAGTTTTTAACAAGATTACGTAACTTTAAGGAGCAGGAGATACACTTAGTTACGAGAGACTATCTGTTGTAAAAACTTCCCTTCCTCACACTTGAGGCATATAACGTTCCGGGCAACTGGGCTCTATACGTCAGGACAGAGTAAGTGGCTGTGGCTCTACAGCCAGCCGCAACTAGGGAGCCACCTTTTAGGCTTTGTCCTGTGATATTATTCAAAATTATTTTTTCACCAGAGCTCGTATATTAGTTATAACTTCAAGCGTTTCTTCGCTACCATACCACACACTTGGGAGGGAGATATATAAGTAGCACGCCAACATCTAACCTATTCGTGCCTCAACGTTTCCGAATACTTTCTCATGAATGTCTCATTTCTCATCTCCTATCTAAATACAAAGCCCTCAATAATCATGCATCCAGAGTATAGCGCTATTGTCAAGGAGCTCCGTGACGAGCTGCTTTGGGAGGAAAATGACCTTGAGCAGGCCGTCAAAAACGCTCGCAAATGGGACATCCCCGAGCTAGATAAGTACGGCATCATCTCAGCCAAAGGATTCCTCGACTTTGCCGACTGGTTGGTCAAAGGCTGGGTCCCTACCGAATCGACCCAAGGCCGGGACATCCATTACATTCTTTGTGTTTTTTATTTTGTCCTTTCCCAGAAGCCATTAGGCGGCCGTCAGACCAAAATCCACCCGCTTAGCATCAATCAGCGAATGAAACCTCTCTCTGAATGGGTAGTAAACTTCTCCAAGGAGGTCGGACAGAGAATGGACAAAAAAGGATCTATCAACCAGGCTTCTATAACAACATTTCGAAATTCTCCTCTTTTCCGTGTTTTTGAGTCCGAGAACGACGCCAAAACTGGACGACTTTCAACAAGTTCTTTTACCGAAAACTTAACGAGCTTCGTAAAATCGATGGGCCTGACGACGATAAGATCGTCGTGTTCCCTGCTGATTCCACTTTCACTGGCGCATATGGCATCAACGAGGACTCCGAGGTTGTTCTCAAGGAGGAAGATTGGAGGGTGGTGAAAGACGAGGTGGTTCTAAAGAATGTACCATGGAAAGTGGCAGATCTTCTGGGAAAATATGGCAGCGATCCGGTTCCTCCTGACCCAGATTCTAAAAGCCCCCCATCCACCTATGGAGATCTCTTTAAAGGCGGAATCTGGACTCACGCCTACTTGAATGTGTTTGACTACCATCGTCAGCATGGCCCAGTGTTGGGGACAGTGGAAGTCGTCGATGTCATTCAGGGCACAGCCTACCTCGAGGTGCTGGTCAAGACAGACGAGCAGGTTGGCCACAATTATTTGGAGCCCTCTCGCCTGATTGCTGAGGGACAAAGGAACCCCTCCGGCATCAACACGCTTGATATGCCAGACACTCCAGGCTATCAGTTTCTTCAAACGCGAGGATTGGTAATCATCAAAAATGACAACCTAGGCAGAGTTGCCGTCTTGTCTATTGGTATGGCTACAATCTCTTCTGTTGTTATGAGGGAGGGTCTGAAGCCTGGCGTCAAGATCAAAAAGGGAGAGGAGATTTCTCACTTTCAATTTGGCGGCTCGGACTGTGTTGTCATGTTTGAGAAAAAGGCCAGAGTTTCAGGTATTCCCGACTCTGACCCAGCTTCTCGTGAGCATTTCTTCTATGGCGAAAAATTATGCAGAGCTTACTACAAAAAACTGCAGCCTGCTAAAAGCTGTGAATCTTAATGAGGAACTTTTATTTCTCTTTGGACAATTTGTATGGTAGATTTAGGAGAGAATAAGGGCTAGACTGCAAAGAAGTCCAACTAGATGTTCAACACTAACTAGTGCTACTTAAATAAGTACAGTTTATTGTTTTTGGACATGTGAATAACGTATTCTGTCAAGATCAAGTCGCTCATTCAGAGGCCAACAAAGGGGCCTCACCGACAAAGGCCCTAGAGGTTACACAGACTGAACACATGACCGGCCAAGAGCCCTGATCACAGGTGTTCTTTTCTTATCAAGTATATATAGTGGTGATGGATCCCTTCCTTCCTCTTAAAAAGTCAAGGACCTTTGACACCCTTCGAGGTCATGATTAAATTGAAGCTTTTGCTCCAAGCCCTCTAGTTGAGCCCTTGTCACATTGAGGTTTTCTTCCCGTGCCGGGGCGTGGCCACGCTCATATTGCTGGTGCGGCCAGACAGAACCGTCGACCTACATTCCATGTCTCTCGGGTTCAGACGCGAGGCTTTTGCAGAGGAGCAATTACAAAGGCTGGAACCATTCATTGGCGATGTCTTCTCCCGGTCATACTTTGCGGCTACATACCGAATGTATTTCCCCTTCTTCGCTAGCGAGGCCAAGTGTGGGCGAGAAGGACTTGACGTCGCCGACCGACAGAATGCCCATAACATGGCAATTGCGGTAACAGCCGTCGTGGAGCTTTTCAAGGCAGTGGGGCGCGAAAAAGAACTCGATGGCGAGATCCTTGTCTTTTCAGTCTCTCACGATAATGAATCGGTCAGGATTTATGGGTGGTATCCGGCCGTCAGTGTATCCAAAACCACAATCCATCGGCACACGATTCGCAAGTTTAACTTTACCGAGCTCGACGGCCGAGATACGTGGGCAACAGACACGTTTACCAAGAATGTCTATCGGGTGTACATGCCCGGCTTTCTGGACCTGGTTCAATCTGCTGTAGATCAATTGCCGCATGACCTACTCTGCGGTATTCGAAGTGATCTCGGTGGTTCAGAGAATTCTGGATTGTCACAGCGACTGGAAAGCCAGTCCATCTCCGCAGCCAATGGTTTGGGCCAAATGACGCCGGATAGTTTTGGGCAGCTCTTATCGAAGAGACAAAAACCCGCCGGAGACTCAGCAACGGACGTATCATAACACATGTCACACGGAAATGGCATGTTACACAAGGGCTACGATCACGGGACCTAGGGCAAAGTCCGTCACCGACTTCTTGTATTTAAAGAGGTCTTTGGTCAACGAGGCCTTGAGGAAAACCAAGGGCCTTCGATACCAAAGACTGTTATTAGCTAAATTGAGCCCTTGTCACATTCCGGAACTGCTATCGCCCTCCTGCTTCAAAAAATATTACCTGTATTGCTGTTTAGCCTTATATAAATTAATAATTATCTCTATTAAAAGCTATTACTATTATTATTTTACCTTATCTCTTTTATTTTAGCTGTTAAAAATATCCTTCAACATAACAGCGAGTATAAATGACTTCTAGCCGGCATGCCACTTGCTCTAGTGGCCTGCCACCATCACGACAAGTTTCCAATTTGAAGCTTGTTGCTGACCGGAACATTCAACCGCTTATGCAACCCCATGGACAGTGCTACATATATATATCGTCACACAAATGGTAGATGAGGGCTACGACGACGAGACCTACGGCATAAGGCTCTCACCGACTCTTTATATAGGCAGAGCTTCTTGGCTCATCAGGGCCTTGAGGAAAAGCAAGAAGTTTTAATACCAAAGTCTACCAGAATAGATGAATTGAGTTATCACTCCAAGTCCTTACTGAGCCTTTGCCACACGTATTCATTCCGCGCGCATCAATTGCTGAGTGCTAATGAGTTTACCTGTATGAATCCGGCGAGCTCTTACATTAGCAGCATCTTTTACCTGTTGACTTTTGTCTTTGAATCCCTTGTAAGCATGACAGAGCCTTTTGATCCTGCTCTTCACAACCCCCCCGCTGTACTCTCGGCACTGGAAGCGGTCGACATCAAGTCCTAGACAGCGCAGAATGACATTTCGGTCATGTGCAGTGATATGCTCCGAGTCAAGTGGCATTCTCAGCACTTGAGAACAGTAGATCGCCGTCAGCGCATAGTTGGCCTCCCCCAAGGCCTTGCCTAGCTTGCTGATGCTAGAGTCAACTAGTAGAGCGACATGTTAGACGAGCTTGGACGGCCCCGGTGGATTTTCTTACATTGGCGAATAAGTTCCTTGTGTTTAGAGATGTCGAGGCAGTATGAGACCTCGTTGGCAGCACTTCCTCCCGCGGCAGCTCCTCCAGTTGCGGCAAACACCAAAGTGGAAAGCCCTCCTGTGAACCAACCAGCTGTAACCGCCACAAATATCACAACAAGCGCAACGTTGATTCGCAAACGCGTCTTTCGCCTCTTTTGCGTCTCCATCTTGATCATAGCCTTGTTGATGGTACCCATGTTCTCTTCATACACTGAGAAGAGTATGGTCGCATTGCGCACATGGATGATGGTCTCGTAGAGTAATTGAGGAGAGATGGCTGCGTTGTACTCTGGTTAGTGGCTTGACACTATACATGCAAGTTGTTGGCAGTCTCACTTCGACCTTCGGACAGGATGTTGATACACTCCGTCATATCCATAATGATGGACCGAAAGCTGTCTAGGCAGGGTTCGACGGTAGCCCATGCCTTTGCAATCTCCTTTTCCGAGGAGAGTGCCACGCGTGGCTGTTCGCAACCGTTCGGCAACACATCCCCTTCGGCCTTCAGCCACTTCTCACGGAGTCGGCGATATTCCGCCATCATGGATGCTCCATTTCTCCATTTCATAGGCAGTTGTAGGATCAGGAGGGCTATTTCCGCACCGACTGCAGCAGAACAGAGCAGCGACGTCGCATGACGGCAACTAATAAAATTTGATGATGAGCAACAACAAGACTCATGGCGGCACGGGGGATGTTGTATAGGGAGCAGGAGAATTCTTACATCTCAGCCGGAGCGACGCATTTCGGAGCAACGGCAAGATCGATGGTAGTGTGGGATTGCACCGCCAACGATTTCACAATTTTGACCCACGTAAGGTGCTGCCTTGTCTTTTCCGGAATGTTATCACCAACGGGCCACATGACCATTTGATGTGCTTCATCTCTCCCGTTGAAGAACATGGTAATGCTCGAGGTCAGAGAGTCATGGAAGATGGTCTTCAAGCTGACAATAGGGCCGGCGGAACCGGTCGGAGGTCCGGAGGAAGACGTGGGAGGTGGTTGGCGGTAATGCAAGTCGACCTGAACGAAGAAAAGCATTATGTTAGCCGTAAAGGAGTCTTGGTAGCCATGCTGAATGCTCCCCAGCAACGGGTGGTTTTCGACTACTTGCCTCGAGTGGACCAAACTCGTCTGGTGAGTTCTTCTCACTGTCAGTAGGTTCAACTGGCTTAGCAATCCAATCCTTCAGGCAATGTTTGTTAAGGAACTGAGCCAGCTCGCTATTGCTGTCATAGTTCTGCCCGTTCGGTGTATAGCACAACACTTTCAACCGGCGAACTGGAAACGGCTCAACTGTGGCATCTATATCTTTCGACACGGACATGGCTGTTCAATATGTGGATCAAGGAACCCGAAGTCTCCAAGACAAGCTTTGAGAATGAGCCAAGAGGCGGTATTTGTATTGCACCACGAGGCTCAGGGCCTCGAATGATCACTCTCCCACCCCTGGATGAGGGCGTTTGACTCCCAGATGGCGCCAAACCTTCGACATCGCCGGTCAGCGACATGTGGCGTAAGCTCATCATGGGCTAGCAACGGCCATCATCGGGCATGATTTTGGATCACCATTCGTCCGAGCATACGAATACGGAAGAGAAGTGAGGGCGGCCAACCTCGTTGTGAGAAATCTTGGACCTGACGTTTTCGCATTTCTCGGAGCCTGGGGCAATGATGACTCGAACGTCAAGACTAAGCAGGACGCAGTTCAAGAACGCTCCCCGTCCAGCGCAACTGACCTTCCGGTCATGGGAATTGATGGGGATAAGGCGCAAGATGATGATGTTGCAAACCAACCGTCTACGCCGGAGACTACAGCGGAGACAAGCTGCAGGTGTTAGAACATGGTCAGTTTAGGTGTTGAGTAGTCGGGCTGGCACTTTTGAGTCTTGGGGCTTGATCACGCGAGCGAAAAAAAAAAATAAGAAATAAAAACACACTGTGTATGAGAGCTGCCGGCCTCATGTGGTATTGTGGCGCGCTCCATGTCGGAATTCCTTTTCGGGCGCGTTGAAGACGCCGATTGTTGACACTGAGTTCATTCAATGTTGATGAATTGCTCAATGTTGGGGCACGGTTCCACTACATATCTGGTACTTGCTTCCTCTAGGCTAGCGGGCGGCTGCCGCACCCAACCGTATGTACATTACCAGTACAAATGCATGGTCGCGATAGCTCTCAATTAAATGAAGAAGGAATTGAATAAATACACAAGTTTCCCGATAACACCAGAGCAGGCAGGCTCTTAATCGCTCAAAAACACGATTCTTAGTGTTTTTACTTGATGCGTGCACTTACAACCCCACTGAAAAATCCAATGACTCCTATTATAGAGCTTTTTGGTGTTCATGTTAGCTGCCATGACATTATATAGGAAATGTACATGTGAGGCTAGCAGCAAGTACAGTGGGCAGAACCGTACCCCGAGCAAAAGCCGACCGTGCCCCGAGCAATTGGCGAACATTATTCTGTTAGGAATGTCCACAGTCCACATGACCGAAAGAGTTTGTTAAGTATTTGTGTGCAAAAAACAGCGATTAATATCCTGTCACAAGAAGACATTCTCCAATGAACACTCTTGCGGGGGAGGGGCTCCGCTTCCGAATTATCAATTGATCCGACCCGAAAAAAATGGCTTACTACATGTACCCCGCAGTTGGCCTGCCAGGTTTAGCCAATTACAGGCACTGGCATCAATGACGGTCTTTGAACGAAGAATAGCACTTGACGCTACATTCTCAATCTCTCTCTTATTAAAATATGCTTTTTATAAGGTAAAGAAAAAGACAGCGTCTTAAATAAAGCACTAGTATTATTAGGCATTGTATTATTAATTCATCAATATAACTACTACGGCAGTCACAATCTAGTCACCCAAGATGCTTGCAAATGTCATTATAGAGGTGCTGGTCTTGATACCTGGAACCTCCCAGGCCTGTCCCTTCTGGTCCATGTCTGCCATACATGTAGAAACATTGAACCCACTACTCTGGCGTTGCGTCAGTAGTGGGGCTTTATGTGGACCTGGAGCGGTGCGGGTACCGTGCCGGCACCTCTGTTACGGTGCCGGGGGGTGCCAAAGGTGCCAAAGGTGCTAAAAGCTAGTGCCGTGAGGTGCCGCGAGATGCCGCGAGATGCCAAAAGTGCCCGGAAATTTAGGGCCGGCACTTTTTATATAATAATAAATTATAAGTATCTGGGCTAATAAATCGTGATTATTATAATAGTTACACGTAATATATAATTTATAATCTATAATTTAAATTCTTATAAATACTTTTTCTATTATATATAAAAATACTTTATAAAATACTATTAATTAATATTATAAAACTAATAATATATAATAATAAGTATAATTTTTTATAGCGTATATAAGGGCTTTTAGCACTTTTTAGCACTTAAATTATACGGTGCGGGTACCTTGCCTGCACCTAGCCGTTACTATACCTCCACCGTGTAAAAGTATGGCACCGTGCCACACGTTATACCGTGCTATTACTATGCTAGATTTTTTACATGTACTATCAGGTGCCGGGTTTACGTGAGCGGCGCACCCCTAGTACTTATGCATACATGTATCTACCCCTCATTGTCCTTCGTAACCTGACTCAGTCCACCAGACTCCTTCCCGAAAAGAGGAAGGTGCGGCGAGCTAGTCTGGCATCGACTCTTGCCCGCAAATATTAACATCGGGCGGTGCTTATTCTTCCAAATAAATCTTTACAGGGGGACAAAGCTGAGCCCAAGCACAGTATCTGGCACATTCAAACTCGACCTCCTGCTGACGGAAGCCAAGCAGCATATTTCACATGAAAACCCATCAGAAAAACACGTACCTTGTCTATGGGACGGGGATTGATCCCAGAAAATTGAAGCTTGGAAGTCTTTTCCTAGACCCAGCAAACCCACAAAAAAGGTCACCATTTATCTTTGACAGTAAGTAAGGCCTTCAGATTCGTATCTGTAGACCGTGTCTCTGTGCTAAAAACATCACTGGCAGCCCCGAAATCCTCAAAGCATCTACGCGCAATCCTCAATATCATTCTTCGTGTTCTGTCGAATTCAAAGCCTCTAGTTGATGGCTAGCATCTTTTAACTTTCTCTCTGTTGTAGAAGTCTCTCTCTTGTAGAAGGCAACTCCTCTCGCGACACCAGTCATCACCTCAAGGTCGAAGGGGATTCTGGGTTGCAATATCAAGTAGATCGGTAAAAACCATAGAAGAGAGAACAGGAAAGAGCAAAAAATCGCAAACCAGAAGCCCTCTGGTATCTAATTACACACCCAAAGAGTTCTCGGATCGCGGAAGGCCAAGGCTTAGCTGAAGGCTCGCCTCTCCCTCTGCCGTTACATGTACTATATCAAGAGTCTGGTCGGCAAAGCGCCAAAGATATGGATGCTCAGAGGCATACAACTGATCAATCAGGGCTCAGTGCGGTTCGCACAAGGATCTGAATCGCCCACAGGCGGCGGCTTCACGATCCCCATCCCAGAACCCAATAGTGGCACGATTGCTACCGCAACGGGATCCGAAACTGTTTCTGCCAAAGGCAACGCTCATTCGAACTCGGACAACGAAACGGTATACTGTCACTAAGATGCACGAGTTTAGGCAGCACATTTCATGAGGTTGGACGTGAAAGTGCAAGCAGATATCCCGAAAGGGGAAGAGGGACGGAGTACTGGGAAATGGGTCAAGCTGCGGCATCTAAGTGACCTTAGGGAAGCTAACACGAGGAATATGCGTACACGGAACATATAGCAGGGCCTGCAATACTGGACGAAGTCCACGACCGAAGATGTTTCAGGCGTCAATTGGGACTTTGTAGATATTCATATGGAATATATTTCCGAAGTTCTGGAACCTGAGTATGCCGAGCAAGACGATGACGAGGGCAAATAGGAAGGATAACAGAAACAAGGGGCTTCTAGAAGAATCCGAAGAAACGGAAGGAAGGGGGTTTTGCACGTAGCTGATTCCATTTCGCCCGTTTCTACAGTAAGGTACCAAAAGTCTGCGCCCCCCTTTATATGGTAAAATACTAGGGAAAAAGATACTATGTTTTTAAAGCTAAATAAAAAGCCTTATAAATAT